TTCTTCGATCTTGGTAACTATTAATACCAAGATCGAACACTAAGAAAAAACTTTCTTCGATCCGGTTGGATTCGAACCAACGTCTTCCAGCAAAGTAGCGTGCCAGACGCTATGAAGACTAAGCCACGGAATGTACTGACGGATGTACGGACCTTACGATTTTTCCAATGTGATTGTTGCACATCTTTGCTCTTGGTTTTTAACGACTTTTTTATCGTAGCATCATCTGTGTGAAATCTATGTCTTCGTGAAGTAATTGACATTTTTATGTCAACAAAAAGAACTAAGTCTAAATCTTGATAGATACCGAAATGCAAATCCGTTACATATTACAACGAGGGTTGATCAGGTGCATGGCTTTTTGTTCCTATGTATACATACCTACAAAAAGATAGTGGAAACATTCCGCAGTGTTAATAAAATAGTATCAAAATGAAACGAAGGAACAATTTGGGCATGCCTGTACAGTCTCCCCGCGACAAAGATTGACTATGACGAAAGATCGTGAAACCAACGCTGGTGTTTGTAATGTCACCATTCCATATTATCTTGAACCGGTATGTTTGAGGCCAGAACCAAAGCGATTTACGATGAATTTATCTTGTACGTAGTAACTTAGTTTTCGATATAATAAAATTCCAGAAATTGGACAAAATTTATAAGTAAAACTGTTTATAGCTCATGTTAAATATATACTAATAAGCTTATTACAAAATCAATGATTACATAAATGGTATATTCTATGTAATAATTGATGATAAATGGTCGGAAAAAGGTGTTCCACATACATAGATACATGTATAGACATAGCTATAAGGAGTGATATAGAGTAGAGTAGAGTAGTTGTTAAAACCACCAAATACTAATTAATTACTTTTATCGAATTCCGGATTTCCGGACGAAAAAAATTATTCTCTTTATTCTGTTTATGGAGAGAAATAGCCGTGCATGGGTATGGCCGTCAAAAATGGCACTTTTTCATCTCGTTTAAGCGTTCAGCATTTTTTTTAAATAAAATGTGTTAAAATGATCTAGTGTGAACATTTTCCTTTTAAATTATGGTATTTCTGTTAGTGGTTCCAATTTATGAATATCTGTTATTAACCGACTTCAAAAAAGGAGGAGGTTCTCAATTCGACTGTATGTTTTTTTTGTATGTATGTTATGCGATAACACTGGTATTTGTGAACCGATTTTCATGATTCTTTTTTGTTGGAAAGGGGGCACTTCCATAGTGGTCCCATTTTATTTTGAAGAAAATCATCCACCTCTAAGGGTGGCTGTTCACGCATGAAGATTCATTTTTATAAATAGCGCCTAAATTTTACTTAAGGAGCAGTTATTTTAATTGTTGATTTTGCTATTTCTCCAATTCAAGGCGTTTTTCTTTCAATATACTTTGAGTAGTGAGTACCGATTTTTATTACCTCCAGTGTCAAGTCCTGTATAGTGGCGAACTAGGGGATATTTCAATAAAACTTAGTAAATAGACGTAATTCCAGGTCGATTATATTATATTGATACGACACGGTGTTTCAAGAAAATTATCAGAATTGGCGTCCAGGCAATTCTACTTACTTGTCGTCATAAGTCAGTTTTTTTACAATTGTCATATGACGGGCTAAACCATTACGCCTCTCTACCTACGGTTGCAAGGCCGCTCAGAGCTTTAAACCGCATAGATTTGAGGGCACTACCACTACGCGTGTCACCCTGAGATATAAAGTAAACAAGTTGTATGTACCTACAGTTTCACCCAGCACCCTTATTAAAAACAGGTACGCAGTATCGGCCACATTACAGTTTGGTGGTAAGAATAGGTATGGTGGCAGAACGTTCCTGAACGAGTCTATGATATAATTAGTGTGAAATATTTACTACCTCTTCTTAATAGTTAGCACAATATTCAATTAAGAGATTTAGGTTGTATTAGTAGGAACAGGGAGAAATTTACTTTGTACGGCGTTTGTGAATGGTTACTTTGTAGCTGTAGAGTTCCTTGTAAAAGACTTCTTCAAGGGAAGTGCTGGCACCTTACCTATTTCTGCCGCCAAGCAGTAATGTGAGCATTACGGCATTTGGGTAAGGGTGCTGGTGACATTACAGTGACATGAGACTTGTCAACTTATGTCTCAGGGTAACAGGCGCAGTGACAGTGCCCCTCAGATCTTCATGAGTGGTACTGCAACTGTTATGGACAGGCGTGTCGCTTACCACCAGGTGAATGATTCTTTGCCCCGTCAATTGGTATTATATAAATAAAAACATATCACACTTTGTTATAGGCGCCGGTTGCCATTGTCCATTAGATATGGAGATTAAATGTTTATAGATTTCAATGCTACAAGAAACAGTTTTACCGGCTCAACGAAGTAAGAGTAGTAAAGATACTAGATAGCAGATAATTAGAATCTCCCCTTTTGTAGCCACATCCAAACATCCTCTCCAACTATTAAACAGCGTCATTCGTCATAGTCGCAGCGTCGTTTCGCTGACGGCTCGCAGGCACCAGACTGATAGCCCATTTCCACTGACCAATCGAGTGAGTGGACACTGTTACAGAATTGCTTTCCACGAATTCCTTGACAAATTACCTACTCGGTTGTATGTCAGTTTTATTAATTAATTAACTTCACGGTGGGTTAGTTTTCTCTATCTAATTTCGGTCACAATTTTTATTATTTAAATGTTCTACAATAATTATTATCATGAATCATTTTTTAATATTCGACTGTAGTAATCTGAAATATTATTTAATATTTCATGATAGTATACTCGAAATTTTTTTTTGGTGCCATGGACACACACATGGACCAGAAATTAGTGAGAAAAGCAACCACCATCATGTTTTAGTTGGTAGGAGTCAGACATAAGCTTTTGCCTCCTCCGGGCGGAGGATATCCTGACGCTAAAAAACGTTCTCATCAAAAAAGCACTGATTTAATACAGATGTGCAATTTTCTTTTCTTTCTTATTGTTTGTTTATTTACTAAGCCATAATAATTATCAACACAGTCTTAAAAATAAAATAATATAGGTTATTAGGAGTCGAAAAAGTCCAAATAACAAAATTTCATTTTTAAACAAAATGGACGTACTTTGCTTCTGCAGGGATCCATGTGAAGATTAAATTGTGCAAAATAGTAGCAAAAGATCTCCTCTTGAAAGAGCTCATCCAACGAAGGCTGTTACCTTATTTATCTATTTCTGCCACCAAGCAGTAACATGCGCATTACAGCGTGAAATTATAGGCACATTGAACTTATGTCTCAGGGTGACGGGCGCGGTGGTAGTGATCCTCAGAGCTTTGCAATTTAAGCTCTGAGTGTCACTGTAACTGCTATTGACAGGAATTGTCACTTGCCACCAGGCGCAGGACTTGTTCGTCCTGTCATTTGCTAAAAAATATGCCATAATTTTACAACCCTTCCTCCTCACAAAATTAATAACACAAGTGCAAGTACAGTCACCAACAATCACAAACACCACCACAAAAAAATTTGGTGTAAAATCGTCTGCATGAACACAACACTTAACACAGGCACAGTTATTTTTAATATAATAATAATAACGCACACACTCAACACAACATAGCCCCGCACTAGGCCCATGGACACACACATAGATAACCACATCCAAACTCACGAGAGAAATAAATGTAGGCCATACAAATGTTTCTCCCGGTCCGGGAATCGAACCTGGGACCTCTGCGTGTCAGTCCAGGCACGTCGGCAGTAAAGGCAGGTAATTTGCACGATATAACCTGAATGAATTAATTATTTAAAATTTATTTTCAAACAAACAAATTTATCTATTTATAAATTATTCATATAAATATTAATAGCAATCAATCAATAGTTCACAACAGATAAACAGTGGCAATATAGTCCATTAGATTCCAGGGG